GATCCATGCCTCCTGCAAAAAGTGTATAATGAATTTAGACAGGAATCCTAGAAAGTCTGGGTGTCCTTGTTTTGGGTCCACCTGGCTATGTTCCAAAAGATGACAGACAGAACATTGTAGAGTGTAGTCGTCAGTTGTCTGGTTTCCCCTTGGAGTACTGGCTGTGGATAAATGATCAGACAAATCAACACTTGGGATGAGCAGGTTATAGACTGAGGAAGAAGATGGAAAGCAAACCTCCTGCTGCCAATTAGGGTGGCTAGTATCCTCAGTTTGTGGCATAGGAGACATTTCATGGAAAGAACAAGTAGGCCTAGATTGGGGGTAAGAAGTATATGTTAGCCATATTCAGGGTTACTTTGAAAAGAGTTCACTTGCAAGGATAAAAAACAGGTTGCAGATGAGGTAGCCATTAGATCAGGATTGTCAAACTTGCAGTCCGTGGGCTGGATGCATCACACGTGGGCCAGGCCCACCCCCAAGCGAAGGGGAAAAAGTTGTCATGCCGCTGTGATGATGCAAGTTTGACACCCCTGCACTAGATCAATAGATTCAGGATCAATACAGGGGGAAGCCAGTGGAAGTGGGGCTGCAGTTTGGTCTGTTCTTTAAAGTCCTGTTGTGGGGAAATATCACCTGAGGAATGAACATCTGGAGAGTTATGAAGAGATCAGGTTACTTGTTCAGCTTTCTGTTCCCTTCATTTGTCTGGATAAAGTTTGGACTGGAATGCCTGTTGCCTATGTGGAGGTGTTAGGCATTCAGAAAATGAACCGGAGGGCAAAATGGTAAGAGAGAACACTAAGGCACTGATTTAACTGCCTCATGTTTGCATGTAATTGTTCATCTTCTTTAAGAGGGTGCCAAATAATTGAGCTAGTTCGTCGTCTTTCACAGAGTTGGCTGAAATCAAGGGTGTTATGCCTACAGGGCTTAGCTGGACCTGCTCTTGGTGTTGGTGAAGCATTCTGCTGTGCAGGTAGTTGCTGGCTGTGATTCAGCTCTGTAGGTTATGCCATTCTGTATTTTGTAGGTTTGGCTCTCCTCCCAGGATTTAGCAGAGGCCATACATTAGCAGATTCGTCTAGATCAGTATTTTTCAAACTTGGCAACTTTAAAATATGAGAACCAACTGCCAGAATGCTGGTCTGTTCTTTAAAGACCAGTTGTGAGAAAATATAACCTAAGGGATGAATGTTTGGAGGCCTATAAAAAGATTGTGTTACTTGTTCAGCTTTCTGTTTGCCTGGATAAATTTTGGACTGGAATGCTGTTGTTTTTTTTTAATACAAGCACTCAGAAAATGAACTTGTCAGCATTTCAACAGGAACATGGCTGGAGGGATTCCAGTGTTGAGGGACTCAGTTGCAACAATAACTAATTTGAGTATTTATTTCATTGCCTCAAGTTTGCATAACATTGTTAGTCTTCTGTACACAAAGAACCAAATAATGGAGCTAACCCTTCCTCATCTTCCATAGAGTCAGCTGACATCTGCATCTTTGCTGTAATGAAATCAAGTGTGTTATGCCCCCTGTGCTTACCTGGATCTGACTTTGGAGTTGGTGAAACATTCTACTGTGCAGATAGTTGTTGGCTATTTTTATGACCTCTGGAGCTTGTGCCATCCTCTCTCATGGCTTTCCAAGGATTAAGCAATGGCCATATACTACTTTTGTGAAAAACAATTATAGATATAATTTGAAATCCTCTTAAAAATATTTAAGTTTAAAGATCATTGAAGAAGGTATAAAATGCCTAAAAGTCAGTATTATTCTTTCAAGACCCTGCCAACTGGGAAGCAAAGCATTTTCTGTAAGATTGCTGAATATACTCTGCTGTAAAGAAGTTATGAGAAGGGAGTGTAGTACTACTTATCTATTTTTCCACCTCTCTTCATTGAAATGATTAATTGCAATCTGAAGCAAAACCCTGTGGTGCTACAAGACTAGCTTGTTTTTGGCAATTTCTACCTTGTAGGGTCTTGTGCAGTATTTTGAGTAAAATCTGAAGCAACTAGATTGGTGACTGGCTCCATAACAAATTTAGTTACATGCTTTTCCATTATAGCCTTAAGTTCATCTACCATATTTCCTCGTAAATATGGCCCACCTCAAAATTAGCTGAAGACTAATTTGTTCTGGGGGGGGGGGCTAATATATGCCCTATCCCCCCAAAATAAGCCCTAGTGAAGGGAATGGGTGTGGCCAGCATAGGAGGCAGCTCTTCATGGCTTCTGGACCCCTTAACAGCCTGCGGATCAGCTGATCTAGCGAGGGCCGGGAATTCTGTCTCTCCAGGTACCTGGAGATATTTCCAGCACATTCTTGCTATCCCTAGCCCTGCCCACAATGCCAGGCAAGCTTGCAGCCGAGGGCCCCTCTGTCCCGCAGCTCATCTTGTGGCTTTGGAGCAGGCGGCAAGCACAGTTTGCACTCCACCAGGCCTGGAACTTGGATGTTGCTTAGGCTGCTGCTACAATGATAGAAAGCCATGGGGCCTGTCAGAATCGGCTTCACCCCACCATCACCCACCTCTACCCAGCTGCTGGGCCTGCTGCACCTGCTGCTGCTGCCCACACAGGGCACTTGCCCTTCCTGGCTGCATTGCTCTCAGCAGCTCCCTTTGGCTGCTCCTGTCTGGCATGAGGCAACTGTAGATCAGCTCAGATCTACAACCACTGGAGCACCTCCCTCGCTGCCAGGCTGCCAGGACCCCCTTTGCCAGCAATCACATTGCCATGAGCAAGCTCCATGGCGGTTCTGCAGCAGGACAGAGGGGGGAGGGGGAGATCACCCCTTCTTCCTTTGCATCTCAGAACTCCTTTCCCTGGTCGCCAAGCCCCAAGCCTGCACCCATCACTGGAGCAAGACACGCAATTCAATCCTACCCATGGAGTCCTCCCAGTGCAATGCTCTGCTGTAGCTTCGGAGCAAACATCTCCCTTGCAGGATTGCAAGACTGGAGGCTTCGATGCCACGGAGGGAGTAGTTTGGATGTGCATCTGCAAGGATCCCCTTTGAAAGGAGGATCGGCAGGAAAATCCCCTCCCCCTGGAGATCACTTTCTGAAAGAATTTTCCTCACATTGCCTGCTTCCGATCTTTCTCTCTCCCCCACATCTCAAGCAAAATCAAACTGTGATGGGGAGATTTTCTTAATGCGTCCCATTTTCGGCCTCAGAACATCTCATTTTTGGCATGTTCAAGGCAGCGGGGAAAGGTGGTGGCAGGGATCCCCACCGCCTGGATTGGGGATGCGTGGAGGCCAAAAATGGACTGTGCAGAGGCCAAAAGTGGGGTGTGCAGAGACAGCGATGGGTAGCAGCAGCGACGGGCGGTGATAGCAGTGACAATCCTCACAGTCTGGAACAGCTGATAGGTGGTATTCCGGGAGGCAGATCCAACTGACAATCAAGTGCTCATGCTAATTCAAGCTGTGCTGAAGCCTTACAGGCTGTTTGCTGTAAGGAAGCAAATTGCTGGGAGGCAGAGACTGAAGGGTGGGGGATAGCGGGTGGGCAGGGCTTTGGTAAGATTTGCTGTATAAGACGCAGACATTTTTAGTGGGGGAGTGCATCTTATACACCAGAAAATACGGTATATATTTTCCAAAATATGCATTTATTCCCCAGGGATGGTTGATGAAGATCTTTGTTTCTTTTGTTTGTTTTGCCTTTATTTGTATGCCGCCCTTTTCCCTGGGGGGACTCAGGGCGGCTCACAATTCAAAAGAGGNATCTATCTATCTATCTATCTATCTATCTATCTATCTATCTATCTATCTATCTATCTATCTATCTATCTATCTATCTATCTATCTATCTATCTCTGGCCATATTGCTGGGATTTTGGGAATAACCACTTTTCATAACAGTGACAAGCATGCCCTCCATAGATCTTAAAAAATAGGTCAAACAATCTGTCTATCAATGTTCTATAGCGCATCTATCATTCTAGAGAAATAGGAACTCTGGCTTGTTACTTTTGGCAAAACCACAAACCAAAGTTGCTGTTTGATGTAGCCTATAGCTACTAACCTACGTACTCATAAACAGAGCTATCATGCTTGTCAAGCCATTTCTCCTGGCGGTAAGTAAACGTGTTGCCTGTTATGGGGTAAGCCAGAAATCTAGCAGTATTCATAACAAGCCATGATTGCCAAAATAGCAATATAAATGCAATGACATCACAAAATGTCATAATTAGGTAACAAATCCCTGACACAAATACATAATTCCCTGACATTCACCTAATAATACTAACATTCACCTAATAATACCATCATACAAAGGTTGTTTCCTGATTTCACTTACAAGCACTCATGTAAGAGAATCAGAAGAATTTATGTCTACTATTTTTGGCACAAAGGAAAATCTGTCAAAAATCTGTGCCCCCCCCCAACCACATATTTGCACTATATAACTATTTAAACATACTTAGATTTGTAATAATCTTAAGTGCAACCTTTTTTTTGCTAATTTTATTATTAGATTTAACTATTACAAACACAATGAAGCACATATTTTCTTTTGTTATATCTTCTCAAGTCTGAAAGAAAGATGGAGAAGAAGCTAAAGCTTACACAAATACAGCAATAATTAGATTTTTTAAATGTTAAATCACACTATTATATTTTTTGTTTCTTGAAGTGCACTTCAGCTTATTTTAGAAATCCCAGCATGACTGACAACCTTCTAATTCCCCGGCTGTGGATTGAAGACTAAATTTTAATCTCAATTCATTGTTTATTTACATTGAAGTAAAACTGCTCGAATGCGAGCCTCTTTCTGAACATTATGCCTAAACGTAAAACTTTATTAATAAAACATCAAAATAGATTATAAATATTCTCATGGTACCGCAACGGTTGTGTAATAAAAATGTCTAAATTTAAACACACTATCCCCCCCCAAAAAAGGCCCACCACGTTTATTTTAGTCTGTCTTTAAGAGAGCTGAAAATAATTCCTGTATGTATTTAAACTCACTATAAAACTCACCGAATTTTAACATAGACCGCGTGGAAACTAAAAAGTCACACTCCCTCCCTTCTTGCAGCCATCTTGAAACTTCTGATCAGCTTTACCAACGAGTTTAGTAGACGGATTCCTAGAACGGACGCTGATTAAAGAGGCGGAAGAAGAGATTCCTTTACAGTATAAAGAGGAACAGTTCCATTTATGTTTATCAGTTAAGTGCGGGGAAATAGATTCCTTAATTTGGGGGTTTCCAGGGGATGCGATCTTTATTATTATCATTTTAAGTCACTGCAACCCTCTGGATGAAGGGAAATATGCGTTTGTTACAGTAAGGGATCTTTGGTGCTATCAGATCTTCTTGGGGCTATAGTTCTCAATGTTTTTTATTTTTGTTTTTTTAGTTGACAACTTTAAGACGTGTGGACTTCAACTCCCAGCTTTGGCGCGGGAAGTTGTTGAGATTGAGAAATATAACTGCACCTCCAAATTCCAAGTGGAAACAAGAAGAAAGCCATGGAAAAAGGTGCGTTTTCAAGAGGCAACTGGACTTTCTGGGATTGTTGGTTTGTTTGTTTTTTGAAGACGTTTCGCTCTTCAGCCAAGAAGCCTCTTCAGCTCTGAAGAAAAAGCACCTTTGGATGATTGAGAATCTCCATAGACATAAAGCCACGGAAAGCTTTTTCCGTTTGTCCTGGTAATTCGCCAGGGATCGAGCGCAACGCGATGTTAATCCTAATAAATTTCGGTTCAACAACAGCTCAGTCACTTTCCGTCACGGTAGAGCCGATTATCCATGTATAGAGGCTGTTATTAAATGTAACTATGAACAGAAGACAGTAGGTCAACTATCTAGTTTTTTCCAAAATATTCTCCAGGGAAGCTCTGGTCCGAATCATCCCGATTTAAAAATGGAAAATGCCGTCCGTACCACGCGAATATAGAGAAATCACCACGACCTTTCGCGTTTCTTCGGGAACTAATCTGATTCTAGTGACTAAAAGACTTCCAGAGAAGGCCCGCCCAGTTTCTTACTAAGAGCACCAATCGGCTGCAGGTGGTACCCCTTAACTCCGCCCGTTTATTATCGGCGATTCTTGATTTTACCCTGCTGAGGTTTCACCTGCTGTAGTCTGAGCTACGTTTGCGTTGATAACCGGAACGGGGGTTTTCCTCCTGAATTGCCACTCAAGAGAGCCGAGAAAGGGAGTAGTGTTTCGTTAGCCAGCAGCAGAGACTTGGCTACCCGCGATTTGTGCAAGGGGCTACAAGTAAAACAGCTGTGCTTCTAATACGGGGTTGATTGCGTGAACGAAAATCTGCCAGAAACTGGAATAAAGAGTAAGCGAAATACCCTCTCCTCTGTTAAACAAAATTATGTAGCCTTGTGTGGTACTTTGTCAAACGATGATGCGAAATGACAATCCTGTGTAGAGAATGTGCTTTGGCCGGTGTGTTCGACATTTCTAAATGACATACCGGTGTGGGGGTTTTCCTTTTCAGTGGATTGGCACAAGAGAAATGTTGCCTGGATCCTGTGCCTTTATTCCACATAGGAAAGGAAAGTTGTCCCTTCAAGTCAGTCTTGACTCCTGCACTTTCCTTGACAGTACTTTTGGAAGTTGCTTGTTTCTAGGTCAAGAAAAAGGAACTAGCTCAAAGTCACTGGCTTTGAATCTAAAGAAAAACTAGAACTCACGTTTTCCTCATTGTAGCCTGATATTTTCGTCATTTCACTAGTGCCAAGAGGAACTGTTGAATATTTTAATATTTTAACGAACTCCAGATTAAAGGAGGTGAGAAGCATTTTTTAGAAAATGGAGTAATTAATTTTTAAAAGCAATTGCCAATGTTTCTAATCTCTTGCATATTTAAAGAATGCATCTATCATACAAGGAATTTTATAAAGCCAAGATAAATATATAAAGCAATTACAGGAATAGAAAATTGGATGAATCTTGGAGAGCAGAACTTGGTTTTTGAAGATTTGAGATCTAGGACTCAATGGTAAAAGAATAATAAAAACCAATTGCCCCATGGATGAGTACAAAAGTGTACATTAGTGCACTTCAATGTACTCAATGTACAAGTACTCAATGTACAAGGGGATAGAAGCTAAAGCATATGGAAAATTATTGCAGGAACTTGCTATGTCTAGTCTAACAAAGAGAAAGACTAGGAGTGACATAATAAGAGTCTTCCAATATTTGGAAGTTAGTCACAGAAAAGAGTGGAGTTGACCTATTCTGAGGCAGGACAAGGAATAACATGTAAGCTTATTGATCTAACTTAGAATTAAAGAAAAAAATTCCTGTCAGTAACAAAATTAATTAGTGGAAAGACTTGCATCCTGCAGTTGTGGGTGCTGCGTCACTGGAGGATTTAAGAAGAGATTGGACAGATTGAGCAGGTCATCTACTCAAACAGAGGATTGGACTAGAAGACCTCCAAGATCCCTTTCTGTTATTCTGTATAATGAGGGGGAAATTATTTTAAATGTTTAGTCTAAAGAGATGTTAGTAAATCCACTAAATTTGCAATTTACATATCTTGTGAGAGTAGTTCATAATAGTAAAGGACAGCAATATTATTAATACAATAGATTGTCTATTCAGATTTCTTGTAGGTATTAATAAAGTTTGACCATGTCATTCATTTCATTTGTATAGGTTGTCCACCTATGTTGCTGTTTCTGCAGCAAAAACTATAGTTATTAAATGCTTTGACACACATCCAAAAAACCCAACCCTTTAAAACCCTCCTAAAGTTGAAAAAGCAAATCTCCAAGAAATAAAAACCTAGCATACTTCAAAGTAGAGTTAATGGCTGTTAGTAAAGAAAGTGAAAAGGGAGTGGCATCGCTAGAATCCTGAATAACAACATTCCAGTGGTGAGTTCCTACCTGGTTGGACAGGTTCAGCCGAACCGGCAGTGGTTTGGCAGCCTGGGTTGCTGGAACTGCAGCGACTCAGGCCTGCTACACTCTCAAACCAGTTCTTGGGACAGCGCCATAGGCGCCGCCATCTTGTTTTTCGCTTCTCCGCATGCGCAGAGTAATTTTTATTGAACTGAGCATGTGCACGCTCATGAGCAAACCGACAGTAATGCCTGCAACATTCCCTTTTACAATATTTTGTTGCAGGTTCTAGTTTCTCTGCAGGAAGCTAGTTCCAATGTCTTGTCATGACCAAGATCTTATTCATAGGGTAGAAGCAGATTATGTTCTCAGCAGTTGAAGTTACCAAATATTTTTTTCAAATATCACTTTTCCCTTGGCAATGTCAGTATTCTTTTTTTTTTCTTATACTACTTTTATAATGCATTTTCATATTTGTTTGGCTATGCTGCTGCTGCTTTTCTGTTGCTATATTTCACATGCTTACAGCATTTTAACTTTTCTCTGATAGTAACCCTAATGCATTTTTTTACTATTGTTTCCGTTTTTCTCTTTCGAGCAAAAGTGGATTAGAAGGCAAGAAATTCTTAATTATTTATTTTTCATTGAGATGACTTTTGCATTTTTCTCCATACCGAGTTGCATTCCTAAACAATCTTTAAAGTTTCCATTCCAACTGCATAATTCTGCATACAGATCTTCCCTGAAAGAAACCTGGGATAGCTATGTGACCTCTCTTTATTTCAGAGCTGTATCATGACTTATGGCAGCACTCATGCTGTAAAAATAGATTGTAAAATGCATGTGTGTTTTTAAATTCTTCCTCACCCTGCAATTACACTATAAGTTATAGGTGGTACTTGTTGACAATAAAAGCTCTTGTGGATATTGTATTGTATTATATTAATTAACGCATATTGCAGTTTTGTTTAGGAAACATAGCAGAAAATTAAAAGAAATAATATTGTGGACCTTAACCTTGTTTGATACAGTTATATTGAGGGCAAAATCTACCCTCTGTGCTTGATACTGGTTGACTCAGCATTGGCTTGCAGAAATGAGGAACTTGAAGCTTTTCAAATTTGCGGTATCGCATATCCCCATCACTTTTGCCATAATTATCATTCACTTATTACAGGTGGACCTAGGGCAATTCATTGTGGCCAGCCTGCCGCAGGATAACTCACTGCAGGATAATTCACTGCTGTATTAATAGTTTCATTCACTTTTATTATTGGTGACCATGTTTTCATCAGAATTATTGTAACTCATGTATTTTTGGATTGACTTTATTTTATTGATATTGGCCATGTTTCCATTGAAATTAATTTTGTATTTGTGAATTGTTCTGCAGCAATTTGGTCATGGTGAATTGTCACATTCTGTCACAGGTCGCCTACATTTAGCACTGTTCTTTGAAACACAGTGGATGTCAGCAAATCTTGGTGTACAATATGGTAAAGAAAAAAACCACATCCTTTTCGGATTTCTTGGAATACATAATTTCCTTGTATGGTTAATATGGAAACATTTCTCATTTATTGTTCAGAAAAATATTTTCATATTCAACTTCAAATCAAGTCAAATTTTAAAACTACTATTACAACCAATAAGCCAAAAAGCAGAACAATAAAATACACAGACCTGTAATTATTAAACTTTTAAATGCAATAAAATTACAAAAAATACATGATTATAGCAACTATGGTACAAATAGTGGCAATCAACAAATTTTATAGTAAATCTCACTACAAAATAGGATAGGACGGAAACAAGAAATGATAGTAGAAAATCAGACTATCTGGAAAGACATGTCAGAGATAAAATATTGGTACATGCCTATTTGAGAAAAACTGATAAATTGTAGAGTTGGATACACACTAGTTTGAAAAATATCTCAAAAATATTGTTCAAGGTTACCCACGGCAGCTTCAAGCCCTAGTGGACAGAGACTTTCCAAAGAAAGACCTAAGGACTACAGTTTACTGTTATCTTTTATTAGCCAGGTTGATTTAAAATAGTATCTGAGAACCAGATTAAACCCACAGATTTTTTTTAAAAGTTTCAACCAAAAATTAAGGAATTGGAAGTAGGCCCTGTCACCCACTGAACAAGATTTTTTAATTATAAAACATCATTCTTGATGCAACTTGGAATATCATAAACTGAAATATGACCTTAGCAAGAAAAACTTTGCAATCT